TATACATATTATATCATATTCTCAAGTTTTTACTTATTTAAAACATAGTAAATAATGAAATTAAATCAAAAAGAGAATATTTTGATATCATTAATTTCTTTAATTGTATTTTTAAAAATGCGATTTAATTCTATTTGTAATAACTATTGAACATAATTGAATACAAAAATGAAGTATTTGATAGTTTCTATGGCAGTAGGAACGGATGGAGGGGGGGGGGGAGGCCATGCGGCCATGCCCCCCCCCCCCTCGCCGCTACCCCCAAATAATTTTGCCGGTATATAGGATACTATGAAAACTTCATGTTTCAAAATACAATATTAGAGATTAACTAGAAACTCTTGTTGCTACAGCAACAAATAAGGTCTTCCGTTCTTCTCTATTTTTCTATAAGAAGGATATTTTTCTATTAAAAAAAAAACCAAAATGCCAAAAAAAAAAAATAATAGTTCCTCCATCTGGGCTCGATCCCGTAACCATTAGTATGAAAGTCGGACACGCTAACCACTGAGCCACCAAATTCCACAACATTTAAGGTATTTTGTAAGCTTATTAATTTAAGGTTGAAGGAAATAGTTTCGAAATGAAAGAAATAGTTTCGTAGTAAAGTCCCGGTCAAATTTCTTAAAAAACTGAGATATTCCCTGTTTGATGTGATATTGTGTGTAGGAAAATGATTAGAATAATTATGGGACACATTTGCAGTGAAGCAATGACACTTAGCATATACAGAGTTGTAAAAGCGAAAGTAATTACGCGTGGTCAGTAGCAGAGGAAATTCAAAATCCCGGTAAAACAGTGAGTGAGTCATGGGCATTTTTTCAACACCATATCGTATCAAGCGGGGTAACTGCAATTGATTTAACCTATCTAAATTGCGTGGAAATTTAATTGATAGGAAAAATCGCCATTTCCAAGATTCGGTGGATTCATATTTTAATCTAAATAAAATTGAAATAAATTCCATACACCCAAGAAAGCAAGAATACTTGATATTAAAATGTCGTAATAGAGCAGAAAAATCGAATGATATTTACAACAATTGTAGAAATAGCCGATGCGAGCTTTAATTAATGTTTATGCTCAGCAATAACTAAATTTCAGACAGATATGCAGATTTTGCCGATATTCACTACAATTTCAGTATAGTTTAGAGACTCACCTTAAAACTCTCAGGACACTTTCTTTCAGGTCTCTTCTTGCTTTTATTCCGAATCTTATGTCAATATTGCGTGCCATTTGGCTTGAAGACATTTTCTCTACGTTGCTGTTGATTGTTTTGGTTTTTTTTTAGAGAAGGGTGGGGATATTTTATAAGTATTTGTTAGAGTAAGAGTTGCAAATACCTCCACGACCTTAAGCTTGATTGTGACCTTTGGGTCAATGGGGCCAAAGAACAAGGTCATTTATCAAGGTCAAAGGTCAAGGTCATCAGAGAGAGAGAGAGAAAGAGAAGGTAAACTTGAGATAAACACTTAAAGCTGAAGCTGAATCTAGATAAAGGTAATGAATATTTCTTTTATTACTTTTTGAGTAAGGGTCAAAGGTCTCATTTTGAAGTTTCTCTAGACATTTGCAGTCTGAATAACATGTCCCAAAATCATTTCAAATACTCTTTTTATAAAAGACATTTATGGGATAGTAAGAAACTTAATTTATGCGGTTTTTCTCTCATAACCTGAAGTCGTTGTTTTTGTTTCCAATGGGACTGACATATTTCAAAACTACTAGTAAGATGCTATAAGGTAATACTAAGAAAGATTCCATAAAGAAAAGTTTAAAATTTTGATTTATTTGATCACTTCCTGTGACAAACGGAAGTGACGGCGGACGATCTTAAACTCAAAAGATTTGTCTACTCAACAAGGTCTTCCATCCCTATTAGTTTGGTGTCTTAATCTCTTACCGTTAACGAGATCTAGCAATGATAACTTCTGATTTTGAGGACAGGAAGTCACGCGACCGGAAGCGAATTTTACTGAGATATTAGAGACCAATGTTGACATTTGCAATCTGAATAACATATCCAAAAATCATTACAAATACTTTAATTATAAAAAATATTTATGGGAAAGAAAAATACTCAAATTATGTAATTTTTTCTCTTTAAACCGGAAGTTGACATTTTTGTTTCCGTTGGGACTGATACATTTTGAAACTACAAATAAGATGTTATAATGTGATGCAAAAAAAGTTTCAAAAAAGAAAATTTGAAATTTTCGATTTCTTTGATCACTTCCTGTGACGACCGGAAGTGACGGCGGACAATCTTATTCCAACGGGTTTTGCCTACTCATCACGATATATCACTTGAATAAGTTTGGTGTCTTAATCTCTTACCATTTACGATATGTAGCTACGATAACTTCTTATTTTTAGGACAGGAAATCAAGCGGCCGGAAGTGAATTTTACAAAGATATTTCAAGTTACTGTAGTCATTTGCAGTCTGAATAACATATCCGAAAATCATTACAAATACTTTAATTATAAAAAATATTTATGGGAAAGAAAAATACTGAAAATATGCAGTTTTTCTCTTATAACCGGAAGTTGTCGTTTTTTGTTTCCGGTGGGACTGACATATTTCGAAACTACAGATAAGGTGCTATAATGGGATGCAAAAAAGTTTCAAAAAAGAAAAAGTTCAAATTTTCGATTTCTTTGATCACTTCCTGTGACGACCGGAAGTGACGGCGGACAATCTTAACCCAATTGGGCTTGCCTACTTATCAAGATCTATTACTCATATAAGTTTGGTATCTTAATCTCTTACAGTTTCTGAGATATGACTCGGACAAAATATTTTTGAAAAAAGCGGAAATCGGACATATCTGACGACCGGAAGTGAATTTTGAAAACCTGAAAACGTCAGTTGTAAGATATTTTCACTGTCTATCATCTCTAAAAATTTCATGAGAATCCGTCCAGCCATCTCTGAGAAATCGTCGAAAAAAGAAAAAGGGAAAAAAAAAATAATAAGAAAAAGAAAAAGAAGAAACAGTAGAATCACTATAAGGTCTTCCGTCTGAAACGGAAGACCTTAATTATAAAAAAAAATCATTTGTAACTGTAAGTTCATTTATTTTCATCATTTTGAATAAGTATTAAAATACGATAATACATATTTAATATTCTATTTGATTTCCATTTGGGTCCATTTGTGTTTCCATTTGGGTCCATTTGGGTTCCATTTGGGTCCATTTGGGTTCCATTTGGGTCCATTTGGGTCCATTTGGGTAAATCGACGCGCCGAGTTAGTTACCAGTAATAGAAATTGAAATTTTTGTCATTTAATAAAATTATGATATCGTTTGTTTTAAGAGAGCCGACTGGGGTTTTATAGTCTGAAATCTACAACAGAGAAACTCTTTAAGAATGTAATTACACTTGGAAAAAAAACTCAGCAATATTCGACAGTAAATCTGGCAAAATATTGGAAAATCTTTTGATTTCAGTGAGATGTATACTCTCGTATTTCCCCCCTAAAACTGACTCTGTTCATTTTCATTTATTTTTTATCGTTAATTCTGCATTGTTTCTAAGTATTTTTTTATTTTCAAAATTATTCACTAATATTTTGCAAAAATGATGAGAACGCTTTACAATATTACGCCTCTCTCTCTCTCTCCCTCTCTTTCTTTTCTGTCTGTCTTTCTTTTCGTTTTTTTTTTTTTTTTTTGAAAAATGATGTGGACGTTTGTGCGTACAAACGTACGCCTGGCTACGCGCCTGAAAGTCATGTACAGTTTTTTTTTTTAAAAACTGCACTTTGTTCACCATAACCATGCATTATAAGGACGTCATAGTAACATCGTCTTTTAGAATAAAGGGAGGGTGGGGGGGATTTTCAACTTACCTGAAAAAAACTGACCTGGGGTATATTATGATATCGTTTGTTTTAAGAGAGCCGACTGGGGTTTTATAGTCTAAAATCTACAACAAAGAAACTCTTTAAGAATGTAATTACACTTGGAAAAAAAACTCAGCAATATTCGACAGTAAATCTGGCAAAATATTGAAAAATCTTTTGATTTCAGTGAGATGTATACTCTCGTATTTCCCCCCTAAAACTGACTCTGTTGATTTTCATTTATTTTTTTATCGTTCCTTCTAAATTGTTTCTAAGTATTTTTTTATTCAAAAAAAAATATTTTCTAATATTTTGCAAAAATGATGAGAATGCTTTACAATATTACGCCTCTCTCTCTCTCCCTCTCTTTCTTTTCTGTCTGTCTTTCTTTTCGTTTTTTTTTTTTTGAAAAATGATGTGGACGTTTGTGCGTACAAACGTACGCCTGGCTACGCGCCTGCAATGAGAACAAATTAATTTGCTTCTTTGCAGAAACTTGACGTCAACGTTTTAAGAATATGTCTGCGAGATGAAAATTAAAGCCAAAATTTCAGCAACAATTCATCTCTCTCTTCTCGTATGAAAGTTTATTGCAATTCCTCTTATACCCATGAATAAAATCTAACAATACTTTAGCAGTATCTTTTTTACATACTGCCATTGTGACCTCCTATTTTACTTTTTGATCCGACAATTATTTCATGTCTCCCTGAGCAAAACACGGACTTTGCCATATTAACCATATGGGAGGTGAGGGGTATCATTGCTCACAGTACCTCTGGTTTGAATCAATTGCAATCGATGGGTGGAGTGTGAGCCCCTGGTGCTTTTTCCTATATCGCAAATGTGTGTTTCATATTTTTTCTTCTATCCATTCTATTGGCTATAGAGTCTGAGATTTACATCTTATTTTGTCCCAAAAGGATGTACTTGTTAGATGTTAGTATGACAGTCATAATTTGGTCAAAAAAATCTGAATTTCTATTGCTTTCATAAAAAGTTTTAACTGGGAAAAAAATTATAAACACAGAAATCTACAGAGCTAACTCCGTAACCTCACATATTTTAGCTCAATTATCCTTCACACACTTTTGAAAGAATACCATAAATATGGGTAACGTTTCTGAATAAATGCAATAAAAACACATATTTGTATTTTCAAATTTACTAGAAAAAACAACAACAAAGAGCAAATAATCCAAATAAAAGAGATTCATAATACAAACAGTTTTTTCTTCCTAAAAAAAAAAGAGTTGTTTTATCTTTGTTGTTTAAAAAAATAATATTATGCCAAATATGTGTGCACATTTACATGATTGAAAATCTATTTGCATATTCAAAATCAGTTGAAATTCTTTGATATCAAGAATATACATATTCAATTAAAATATCACAATCTGACACCATTTTTAAGCCACTACAAATTAATAAATAATTGAATGATTTAAAGACTTTTCATACTGCTGAAAATGCAGCATGGGATACATTTACATTGAGATCAACCACTACATTTGATCCAATCCTTACTAATATTCTTCCAGAAGTTTTATTACAATCTTTTTCTTTTGAACTTTTATCACAACTAGTAATTGAAAAAAACAGGAATCAAAATACTGTTTAAAATCTGTTGGCGATATACATGCATTCAAAATAAGTCTCTTGGCCATATATAAAGTTCAAAAATTTATGTTGGTTAAAAAAAATTTCTTCTCTACTCCTTGTACCTTCTTTTTGTACATGTAACTGACACTGAAATAATTTAATGCCACCATTAACCATCAGCCATGCAAACTAAATACTCTACCAAGCATTTAACCTTATGCAAACAATATCACTATTTACATTTTCAGGAAATCCGTAATAATCAAGACAAAAAGGAAAAAAAAAAATCACATTGCATTGTACATGTACATTTAGTTGTAAAAACAGACTACCTTTCAAAGTCAAAATTTACATATCAGAACATTGGACATTAATTAAGTTGTAAAAGCAGACTAGGTTTGATAGTCAAAATTTACATGATATCAGCATATTGGACATTAATGTAGTTGTAAAAACAGACTAGCTTTGATAGTCAAAATTTACATATCAAAACATTGGACATTAATTTATTTGCAAAAAAAGACTAGCTTTGATAGTCAAAATTGACAGGATATTTAATGCCTCTTCAGCAAAAATCATTATCACAGGGCAAGTAAAGGATCATTAGCTGTGCACTACACAAAATACTTCAAGACAATAGATGGAGTATGTACAAATGGACGTCAGTAAAACATTAAATGAAAACCAAAACTGGACTTGAGTTTGACATAGCTTGTATTCCACCATTAAACCAATTACATTCAAATTCAATCCATACTGATAGAAAAATTAAAATCTCATGCCACCACACAGTTTTTGACTCATACCGGTATGCTTCAATCACTATTCCAGCTTGTTTAGCAACTCCCTCCTTCATGAAATATTCACAAGGGAAAGTAACTGCTGATTTCCAGCTTGAAAAATTACTGGTTTAATATTTGAACTGGCAGAATTACAAAATTTTAAGTTGTAATTCTTTCTTGTTATTTTCTTTTGAAACAGTACAGTCTCAAAAAGCTCTACGTATAGCTATGCATACTTCTTGCAGTGCAATGTACACATATGGAATATTTTATCAAAACACATTAATCCCACATAAACACATGATAAAACTGTTACCAAATCAATCAATAATTATTTTTTCCAAAAAAATGACACATTAATTTTTTAAACTGACAAGGAAGGGGGGTGGAAGTAAGTTTATCACTGTGCATGATGCTTGTTTGAAGTTGCAATATTGTTGTTAATATTGGAACTGAAAAAATTTTCTAGTGCAATAACAGTCATCTATAGGATACTCCTACAGCCTTCCACAGGAGCACTCCTACACAGTCCTGCTCCTACACACGGAGTCCTGCATACTGTCCTCCTAGTGCCTCATATCGGACCTCCTTAGAGCGGCAGAACAGGATACAGCTACAGATCATGCCCAGGACCTGTCAATCAAAGAACAAGACATTATTATCCTTAACCAGAAGTCTCTGTCGAGACTGAAGCTCTACTGGTTTGTACTTATAGCAAAGGAAGAGGAAGCAGTTGGGAATTGAAACTTACACTAGCAAAAAAGAGAATAATGATCCTTGAATTAGTTTCTTTCTGTTCTTAGTGTAGTCTACTTGCATGCCACATTATATTATAATCAGACTAAAACTGTATTTGAAGTAGCATTTTGAGAGTAACAGAAATTGCTATCTCGATTAACCAAGGTAAAAATGTTCATTGAAGTCAAAAACGGATATAAAGAATTATGTACCTTAGTGTAGTCTACTTGTGTGCCAAGTTATATTGAAATCAGACCTAAACTGTAGGAGGAGTAGCATTTTGAAAGAATTTCACAGAAATTTCTATTTTTAGTAACAACACCTACACCATTCGTCGAAATCAAAAACCGATATACAGAATTATGTATCTTAGTGTAGTTTACTTGTGTGCCAAGTTATATTGAAATCAGACCAAAACTGTAGGAGGAGTAGCATTTTGAAAGAATTTCATAGAAATTTTTATTTTTAGTAACAACGCCAACATCATTCGTCAAAATCAAAAACCGATACACAGAATTATGTATCTTAGTGTAGTCTACTTGTGTGCCAAATTATATTGCATTCAGACCAAAACTGTAGGAGGAGTAGCATTTTGAAAGAATTTCACAGAAATTTCTATTTTTAGTAACAATGCCAACACCGTTCTTCGAAATCAAAAACCGATACACAGAATTATGTATCTTAGTGTAGTCTACTTGTGTGCCAAGTTATATTGAAATCAGACCTAAACTGTAGGAGGAGTAGCATTTTGAAAGAATTTCACAGAAATTTCTATTTTTAGTAACAATGCCAACACCGTTCGTGGAAATCAAAAACCGATCCACAGAATTATGTATCTTAGTGTAGTCTACTTGTGTGCCAACAGTGTTTTCAATAAGATTTTCTATAGAAGGAAAAATAGATGGAATAGCAGGAAACCAGTCTCGGCGAGGGGTCTGGGGGCCGCCTTAGGCCCCCAGCGGGTCCAGGGCAGAGCCCTGGTAGGGGGCCCAGGGGGGCGAAGCCCCCCGGCGGAAAACGAAAATCAGCATTTTTGACTCATTTTCTTACCTCTCAGGCTATTAAAAAAGTACCATTTTTTCACATTCCTCTCACTATCAATTATCAAATTTTACCTTAAAAAGCCAATTAGAAAACATTTTTTACCTTTTCACAGATTTGTTTGGCAGTTTTTGACAGACTGAGTTTTTTTTTTCTTCTGAAAACTAAGTGTCTATACAAACATATACACAACTTAAGTATGAAATTCTAGTACAGACAATTGTCTGTGGTAAAATATTATACTGAAAATTCTACACATTTGTCCCTTTCACATAAATTAGTCAGGTCTTTTATTCAAAATTCAAAAAAAAATTATTTAGTTAAAAATGTAATTTTTTTCAACACTTGGTGATGTATAGTACCCTCCAAAAATTGAAATATTCTGCAATCTTAGACGTTTCATAAATTAATTTTAAAACTTATTTACTTTGGCATTTTCATTTGGTACAGATCACAGGCACCTGACGTTACTTATTTTTCTTTTAATTAAAAAATATACACATACCTAATAATAAACAAGGTCCCCAAGGCGCCATCTTGAATTTTTCTAGGTCTGTCACATCAACTTGTATTTTCGTCTGAAACTCCGTCAAATAAATTCTCTGCAACCATATTCTTTCTGTGGCCAGTCTTTCGAGGTCTAAACTTACGGACAGTGCAACCAGAAGGGCGCATCACACTTGCAAATATTAAAAATCCCTCGTCAAACTCGATCTACTGCTTCAACAATCCGAGAAATCGCCAAAGGGGGCCGGAAGTTTACATACGATTTGAAATTCTTAGGGAAAGCCCTTTTTTGATTGGTTAATATATTTGTACGATTTATTTTTAAAAATAACCTGCGAAAGTTAGTATACTTATTCCAAAAACAATAATTCAGACAATAATACAACGTAATATACATGTAAGAACATTCATTTTATATCTCTCAAAATAATTTCGATATAGCTTGATCAAAGCGATTATATTTTATAAATGTCGAAGATCGGCCCTGATCATGCTAGCTGATCAACATGATCAATGAACATTTTCAAGACAAAATATTGAGTCGGGACTTAAATGCACTAAATATAATTAATAACACTGTCATTATTGATGCCCTGATTGAGCGTTATCCGTGGAGAAGATTGACTTATCTAAAATATGTACGCACGTGTGTGAGAAGGGGGGGGGGGGGGTTCCACACTAAAATTATTCCAGGGAGTGTTGAGATCTGCAATTTTATGTATTGCAATAAAGTAGTGGCATGGCGACATTTTTATTTTTTTTCTTGGTGACAGATTATACATATAACGTTACATGATGCATATGCTAATATTTGATTTCATTACATATCCCCGAGCCTTTAATCAGTGTGCCCCCTTCCCTTTTTCAATTAAGCATATGCCAGGTATATATGTTACATAATGTATATATATAACTGGATGGTTTGCAGTCTTTTGTTTTCTGAAAACCATTCAATTAACTCTGGATGATTTGTTGTTGATTTTTTTTTTCAAGCACCCCCCTCTTTTATTCAAGATTGTTTCAAATGCAACGATCGGTATAGATTAATACAGTATATTTTACAGGTATGTTTATAAGAACTGTTTTATTTTTCCCATTTTGCATTTTTTTTTTCATTTCAATAATCGAAATATTTATTAAAATTCAAAGTAATTATAACACGCCGCTTTAGATCCACCACAAAACTGACAAATACGGAATTCCCATTAGCATATTGATGTAAACTTCCGGCCCCCTTTGGCGATTTCTCGGATTGTTGAAGCAGTAGATCGAGTTTGACGAGGGATTTTTAATATTTGCAAGTGTGATGCGCCCTTCTGGTTGCACTGTCCGTAAGTTTAGACCTCGAAAGACTGGCCACAGAAAGAATATGGTTGCGGGGAATTTATTTTATGGAGTTTCAGACGAAAAACAAGTGAATGTTACCGACCTAGAAAAATTCAAGATGGCGCCCGATGTGTACCTTGTTTATTATTAGATAGGTGTATATTTTTTAATTAAAAGAAAAATAAGTAACGTCAGGTGCCTGTGGTACAGATTGTCAGAACAAAATAATTAAGAAAACGGAATTTGATACAAAATACTAGGACATTAAAACCTTCCCAAATGTGAAAATGATTCTGTTCCTGTATTTCAAGATATCTTTACACGAATAAATGAGAATAAAATTTTACATTTTCAGTTTGAGGAAATTCTGTAAGAATTTCTACATGTACGTCCGAGTCACGATCAAAATAATAAGACTTTTATTCGTAATTATTACGTCTTAGCTTAACACTTGAGTTTTTCAGTTTGAGGAAATTCTGTAAGAATTCAACATTTTTCGTAAGGTCTTAAAATTATATTTATTTGCTGTTTTTTTTTCACCGGGGAACCCCTCACTTGATATTAAGCTAGGCTGCCGCACAATCAATTTTCAATCAAAACTATAAAACACAAAAAATTCTTTTTAGAAGGGACCATTCTTTATGCCTCTTAATGTATGTGATCTCAAACGCATGTGTTACAGCAGCAGCAGCACGTTTCTCCACGACTTCGCTCAAATATTCGTTGTCCGCGCCGCCATTGCATGACACGATCGATCTAATCAAACTTCCTTGAAAAAAGAGCGCACTCAAGGGAAGCTACTCTAAATCATGGAAATAGTTGCGATAAAATCTATGGATTTCACGTATCAGCCCCGGCAAAATCTTAATGACGGAAATTTCATAGCCGGCAAAATTTCTCGTACAGGCGGTTAATTTTGCCGGTTGCCGGCTCTTATTGAAAACACTGGCCAAGTTATATTGAAATCAAACCAAAACTGTAGGAGGAGTAGCATTTTGAAAGAATTTCATAGAAATTTCTATTTTTAGTAACAACGCCAAAATCATTCGTCGAAATCAAAAACCGATACACAGAATTATGTATCTTAGTGTAGTCTACTTGTGTGCCAAGATATATTGAAATCAGACCTAAACTGTAGGAGGAGTAGCATTTTGAAAGAATTTCACAGAAATTTCTATTTTTAGTAACAATGCCAACACCGTTCGTCGAAATCAAAAACCGACACACAGAATTATGTATCTTAGTGTAGTCTACTTATATGCCAAGTAATATTGAAATCAGATCAAAACTGTAGGAGGAGTAGCATTTTGAAAAATTGTTTACAGACAGACAGACGGACGGACGCCAGACGCATTACTATCGCATAAGCTCTTCTGGTCTCTGACCAGTAGAGCTAAAAATAATGAGTCTATCTGAGTGAGAATATGATAAATGCAAGGAGACAAATCTCAATGTTTCCCTCTTGAAAAGGGTGACAATTGTGTGGTGGATGGGTGAAATACATCAAATTGAGTGAAGTCTTACCAAAATCACAGCTAGACCAATGGCAGTGCCTGCAATGTAGGCCAAATTGGACATGAATTCATGTTCTAACTTCTCATAGCACCCCTGTAAAAGATTAAAACATTTTTGAATGTTGGTAAAACATTTTTGAATGTTGGGATAATCATTCTTATTCACATTACATATTTCATTGAAATTTATCTCTTTTATTCAAAAAATTAACTGCATCCTGCAATTTAAGCTCAAGTTTAACTATTCCTTTACTCTTCTTATCAATAGACTTTGAAAGTGATAAATGCTATTGACTTTACCTTTTGGTAGATGTATTTAGGATCGTTGACCATTTTTCGCTGCTCCTCTGTACAGTTAACACCTGAGACACAGCAGCTTTCTGGGACGGTTTTGTTGGCAGTTGGGGCCCAGGTCTTAGCACTCAGCCAATCAGAGGCATTGTTTACACCACAACACTTCAGCTATAATTTATATGGAAATTAATCCCTTGTTATATCCATTATAAATTCCATTGTTTTTCAAAATAAACCTTTACAAATTAGTACATGTATTATCTTTTAATACATTCCTAAAATTAGAATATCACCTGCAAAAATAAAACTTTTACAAAATGTTCATTCAAAAATACATCTTTCCAAAATAAGTTCCCCCATATAATGATTCCATACTCCTAAAATTACTGTAGAAGTACTTTTTTCCACGTGGTATTAATTTACACTATGTATGCGGTCACAAATTTTCCGCTGAAATTTGTCCAAGTGTACTTTAAAATATAAATGTAAGGCAAAAAGTGACAGTCTGAGAAATCCACATAATTTTCTACCTGCAGATTAAAAAGAAATTGAGATTCCATGGAATTATGACCCTGTGGAAAAAAGTATGTCTACAGTATACTAGTATACCTCCCTCCTCTACTATGTATATAAATTATATCAAATATAACAGTCTTATCATTTCATCTCAACCAACACTCAGCTGATCTTTGAACTCTTAGACTATGTATTCTACTGAGACTACCTCCAATTTCCCCCATTTTATCACCCAACGTTTCCCAAATGTACAAATAATGTCCACTTTCATCCCAGTCCCTAAGCCTTTCCCTTCTGATCTATTGTACGCAGTTCTCTGTAACTTACATGTTTCTGTAGGTAATCCACCTGGTCTCGCTGAGTACTGTTTGAGTTGTAAGCATCAATTGCCTTCTGTAATCCGTTCTCCACCGCATTGGTAACCTAGGTAGAAAATATTTACAGTAAGTCATGCTATTTTACTTATTGAAGCCAAAATAAATAATGTGTCATCTAAATGAGAACTCTGTAATGTTTCAAGATTTCTTAAAAATGAAACACATTTATATTTTTGTTACATACTTTTCTTCTTTTATCATTTATTTAGCTTAATAACACTTTGAGGTCATTGTATCATCCGTCTTCATTGTGACTTTTTATACCAGATTAACTCTTCATTCAGTATTTCGGCATTGATATTCAAATCATTTCGATACACATCCTTCATCCGATAGAAGATTAAAATGTAAATCATTACAACAAACATCTGACTTACATCACTTCTGAATCCATAGCCAAGAGCTCCTGATGTTATAAGTGCTGTTAGAATCACCAGTAAGAAAGAGAATAGCTGAAAAACATAGTAATGAATCAGCTGGATCAATTGTTTACATCACAACAAATAATAATGAATATCATGTAATTAAAAAAATTATTCATTTTATATGCACTATGCATGTTAGACTATTTCTATATTACTTTAGTCTGTCAGAAAATTTTACATGAGTAAAAAAATATAGATATAAGTTCAATTACCACAGCCAACAGGCACTTGTTTTCTTTAAATGCTGCCGTGCATCCAACCAAACCAACAATAAACATCATCACACCCACTGCGATGATGATGGAGGCAGGAATCAGGGTGAAGTTGGCTTCTGCGATTTCATCGAAATGTTTGTAGGTATTGAAAACCCATCCCCCGACAAAGAACAAGCCTGCCGCTACAGCCTAATGGAAAAAGAAGCACAGAATTGAATATATACCTACATATATATTTCTCAATCTACATTCATTAAACCAAATACAATCTTTTCTACAAAAAGAATTAATATAATTTAAAGTAGAAAATGCCTTTATCTTATAAATAAAATACAGATTTCAACACATATATTGACAAATTTGTTAGATGGATATGCAAATTTGCAGGTTCTAGTGAACTTGCTTAATACCTTATTATATATTAGCCAAGTCTTACAGTGAATAATAGTAATATCTAGCACTACAGTAACAATAAAATTTGAATTCCATTGATTCAACACCTTTTAAAAAAAACATAATGTTCTTCCTATTGTTAAATTAGACGATAAGTACATGTATACTTTCTCCTTGGTGCAGTCAATTGTTAATTTATTTACAGGTTTAGAAGTTTCCCGCAACTCTGTGGAGCTGCATAGAAGCTGTTAACCTGACGAACAGAATTGACAGATAATCTTGTAAATTATTAAAAACATACCTTCCACAACTCATTGGGTGGGACATAATTACTTTAGAAGGAATAACCTTCTTTCTTATGAGAGGACGAATTTAGTTTTCTGTGCAGAACTCAAAAGAACAGACTCAATCATTCAAACTCTAGTCAGAGAGCAAGCTGAGCAATTTTCTTAATGTGATGACTGTGGCATATTTAAATACTACGCCTTTTTATCAAGTTCAATAAAATGAGTCTCAGCACAATAAGTCAAAGCCAAAAGACGTAAAAACCCTGATTCTACGCCAAACCGGTACCTCCGGTTCTGGAGCTGATATGACATTGTGGGGTGTTGTGTACTCTCACAACAAACAGTATCCCCAAGAAACTTACCCAGAAGATCAACCCTATTAAAATCAAGCCGACCTTCGAAGTCATCGTACAACCCGACATAGCGTAAATGTATTTTCGCTGAAACTAAATTGTTTTATGCTAATGAGTAATCCGTCATGTGATGTTGATTAGTTAAATCGTACACGGAAGTCTCTGGCCAAATCGTTCCAGAACTCTTTCGGCTTTGATATCGAATAAGACCACTTTATGCTTTCTGTTTAGTATTGTCGCGTTCAGTGTTTTTAACTAGTTGCTATCTGAAAGTACGTGCGGGTTTTGAATATCAACATTTCTTGGGTAACCCGAATTACCGAAATGCCCCTGATTTACCGAAATGCCCCTGGAAATTACCGAAATGCCCCCTAAAACTACCGAAATGCCCCTTGAATTATATTCTAATAGTCATTTTATGATAATTTATTATAAATTTTATTAACGAAACTGTGTATTTTGAACATAAACGAAAAAAATGCGTTTAATTCGCTCAAATATTGTGACCTCTAAGAGCGATAACTCTTGCAACATTGTCTCAGCGGGAAGCTATGTTACTGTCCGTTATTTTAAGATTTAATGATCCCTCTTCTTTTTTCTCTCTCTCTCTTTCTCTCTCTCTCTCTCCCACTCGCCTTTATTTTGTTGAACAAATTTCATAAATACTGTATGTCTAACTTAAGTATTTAAGAGGCAGTCCACCGCAAAACCAGGCAGTAATAAATTGATAGGCGGCACATCGAATGTGAGGAATATTTGATATTTTATTGAAAACAATATCAAAGTAGTCCAAAACGAATAATGTAATTGAAGATTTATTTGAAAATTACTTATTTAGTAAAATATCCTTTTGTTTTGTGTTTTTGAATTCCCCTATATAAACCATTGAAAGTAGGTCAGAAACAAAGAACTGTTATTTCCAATACATTTTTAACAGGACTATATTTTACGCCTAACTAAATCAAGAAATAGCTCATCTTTCTGATTCAAAAATAAAATCAGTGGGAAAAACACTTTTGATAATAGTTTTCTGGCAAAATATATAGACGTTTTTATGAAATTTTGCGATGCAAGAGTTATCTACCGTAGCATCGGCAAATCTGCTAAACACCTTACTACCGGAATCCTAATGAAATATTTAGAATCGATACACTAAAATAAAATTTTTAAACATAAAACAACTATTTAATCTTCAAAATAGAATTTTTTTCACCTCCAAATGCAATATTTAGATTTAAAAAAAAAGAAGAAGAAGAAAACATGACAGAAATACAAGTAAGTACACAGTTTATTTACATCTCATATAAGTATATACGTAAGGATAAAAAAATACAGATTTAAAATTCGACTTCCGAGTAATCAAAAGCTTTATATAAATAAAAGGCAGTAGACAAGGTCGGCCAAAGTATACAGGAAACGACAAACTTAACTACCTTTTAAATCTTTATTTTTCTAATGAAAATTGACACAAAAATATCCTTGACAATGTTCGTCGGTGTCATTAATCAGGTTTCCGACGATAATAATTAGTTTGCCCCGGGATTTTCATGCCTTCTCTAGCAGAGGGGATTCTGATGAAACTGTTATCTGTAAGTCCTTTGGGTCGGAGTGAAGAGCACTGGAAATCCTGAAATATATATTTTATTTTATTTTACATAAAATAAACTCAAAACTCTGTATTTGAATTCTCAATAATCATATTACTAGACTTGTCAACAATTGAAAACAGGTTCATCGTAATGCAAGAAATATTAATTATTCCAAGAAATATATTTCATGTTAAATGAGCATGCTGAGTTCTACATGTAGGTAAAAAAAAATATATTTTTAAAAAATACAATTATGGTTAAAAAAATAATTACGGCGCGTCTACTGGTCATATAATTGGAGCTCATGGCTAAGATATCATTGATTTAACTTATTTTGTACTTATCTTTTAAGCAAAATGTTGATTACAAATAAATTAAATCAACTATCATCATGATGAGTTCGTCCTATCACTTTATGAGTTAGAATCAGAAGCGGTCCGATTACGGAAATTTAAACTGTTAAAAATATTTCTTTGAATTGTTTGAAAATAGACATATGTGAATGTTTTTTGTTTTTTTTTAAATACAAATTAAGGGCTTCCTACAAACTGTAAAATAAAAAAAACTTACCTTTCCAGTGCTTTTGAAAAGTCGTACTCGTTCTCTAAAATAGCAATCTCGGCAAATTTTTTAATGGATAACGGTACACTGTGGGATACTAAACCCCTGTGGTTCAGAGTTGTAAAATTTAAATGAAATGCTTAAAATAGCTATGAAATGCTTATAGCATATTAAACTTAAAAGTTTAAATTAATTGATTTAAATTATTCGGCAAGTAAATCGACATCATCAAGAAAATAATTCCGCTAATATGAATACAAATACTACTAGAGTTATCTCTCTTAGATATTAGATAAACGAACCTTTTTGAAAGAAAAAAAACAATTTTGTAAATATTTTCCTTTAATTCAAATTTTTAAAATATATATAATAAACTCACTACCTTTCATAAAAACCAAAGTATTTAAGTTTTAAAGGGGCATTTCGGTAGTTTCAAGGGGCATTTCGGTAATTTCCAGGGGCATTTCGGTAATTCGAGGTACCGACATTTCTTTGATTTTAAACCGAAAACAATTTTTAGATTAAGAAGATTCGATGATGCTGAGATAGCGTTTTATGATTTTAGAAATTCGACTGGATTTCCTTTTTTTCAAAGATCAAAACGTGCCTTTCTTTTGTTATCAGAAATTGTTCAGTTTAAAGAAAAGATTATATGCAGATTTGTAGCGTTATGGTTTTATATATTTTTCTTTGACCATAACGCTACAGATCCTGTAATGCAAAAAGGTGTAATTTACGGCGCAATATTTTTTGCGCACTTTTGGGGAAAATTTCTCCATTTTCCAGCATCGGTCAATTGACTACCTTTCACTCCCTAACTCTACGTATATTATTTGACTAATCTGTATATTTTAATCCATCTTCCAACCCTTTATAGTCGTTTCTACAAGTGATAAACTCGCTTGATAAAAATTAATTGTTAGATTGCTGAAAATTCACTTCAAGCGAGTTTATTGCCTGTAGAGACAACTAGAAATGGTTGGGAAGTGGATAAAATATACATATTGGCTACAAAATGTGTCTAGAAGTAGGGAGTGAAAGGTAGTTGATTGACCAATGCTAGAAAGTGGAGAAATTCTCACCAAAAGTGCGCAAAAAATATTGCGCCGTAAATTGCACCTTTTTTGCATTAAGGGATCTGTACAGCGTTATGGGCAAAGACAAATACATGCATATAAAACCATAACGCTGCAGATCTGCAGCTTAGAAAAGATATAATATTTCATTGATTCGCAAACCATACTCAAGTCTTTCTAAATTTAAAAAACAGAAATGCAATTCCTCATTTTAAAGCTATCCCATTTCTGGACATATATTTCATAAATTTTCTTACATTGGAAATAACTCGTATAGCCAAAGGCAATGGCATTTTCCATACCATCTCTATTTATTTGGCATTTTCTAGCCATTTTTCATTTCAACAATTTTCCCCTCCATTTCTCTATCTATCTTTTAATTTTCTTCAACCATCTTTTCTACGGAAGCCCGTTGAGGCCAGTTCAGAGAAAGAAATTTTTTTATGGCGTTTAATCGCAAAACTTTGCGTTTAATCGCAATAATTATTATTATTAGTTCTATTACCTTAAACGAGTCTTGTTTCATCAATAATTATTGCATTTAATCAAAAAAGTATTGCGTTTAATCGCAATATTATTGCGTTTAAACGCAAAAATTATTGCGTTTAAACGCAAAAATTATTGCGATTAAAGGCAAAAATCATTGCGATTAAACGAAAAAATATTATTGCGCTTAAACGCGATAACTATTGCGTTTAATCGCAAAAGATTGCGTTTAATCGCAATCTTTTGCGATTAAACGCAAAATGTTTTGCGTTTAAACGCAAAGTGTTTTGCGTTTAAACGCAATGATTATTGCGAGTAAACGCAAAGTTTTGCGTTTTTAAAAAAGCAATAATTATTGCGATTAAACGCAAAGTTTTGCGATTAAACGCAATAACTATTGCGTTTAAACGCAATAAAAAATATTTCTTTTTCTGAACTGGCCTCAACGGGCTTCCGTACTTTTTAGAACCGTTAAAAAAATATTTTTTGTAGGAAAATGCTTTTTAAATGGTAAATGTACACTATTTTTACTTGAGTAAATGGAAAGAAATGTCAGTTTGGTGATCCACAGGATGCTTGATTATTGATATGCCATTTTTCTCCCATTTATTTTCTGAGACGTTATTTAATAAGGAAATTGTTATTTTAGGCATATTCTTAACCCTCAAGTTTGCTAAGTTTTTTTTTTTTTTTTTTTTTGTGCAGAACTGGCTATATATCAGATTTCCTCCCCAGCTCTGTAGTGACCTTTTTCATTTAATAAACCCCTGCCGCTTGAAATGTGGGAGGGTATCGGGATGTTCGTCCCTCCATACAGACATTCTTTTGCTTCTTTCGTTCTTTCTTTTTTGTCGGCGCAACTCCTCTTAAACCACTGCACAGAAGTTTGTCAAACTCTAGGACACTGTGTAGATGTGCATATTGCCAGGGAATTCCGATTCCTTTATTTTTGGGGGGATTTTCGGCACTTTTCAACTTAGATTTTTGGCCTTCAACGCAACTTCTCTCAGTTAAACCGCTGCCCAGAATTTCGTCAAACTTTTGCAGATTTTCAGGACACATGTATAGATATGCAAAATTTGTAACAGACAAAGATTTTAATGTCCTTATATGAAAGAAGCTTTGATGTGGTGATTTTTTTTTTTTTGATTTTTTTTTTTTGCAAGCAATGCCCCTTATTGAATTATATATTGTAAATTAAAGTGCACATAACTTTTGAAGGAGAAAAGATAGGGCTTTCATATTTCACATGAACATTACATGTGTCAAGACATTTCCAAATAAACTATAAATTTTGACCCGTGACCTTGCCGTTTGACCTACTTTTCAAAAAAAATTAACATTAAACTTTTAATTGGTCATAACTTTTGAACGAGAAAAGATAAGGCTTTCAGTATTAATCATG